GAGAATTAGATTTCAATTCAGCCGGGATCAATTCCATTTCATCACCATCATCACAGTGGTGGTGGTGGGGGGGAAGTCAGTAAAATTTTCACCACCTTGTTGGAATCACGTGAGTGGGGAAGTCAATAGTTGTTGTCTATGACCACAATGTGACCTGCCCCAAGGAATGTCCACTACTGGTTTGGGGTCAACCAATGAGGTTTGCACATGAGGGCACTGTTGACCTTTTTGCAAGCTGTGGCATCTTTACCCGTGTTCAACCCTGCTGCAACCGCTTAAGAAAACACTCCTAACCTGTTGCCCCTTTGAACTGTCTCCTTGAAGAGCATTTGCTTAGAATGAATACATCATCCCACTTTGATCCAACGTCGTGCCAAAAACTATATATACAACAAATCTGATGAGACGATGTTGGTAGATGCTGTAGATACGGGGATGATACAGTTAATGACGTTTATTTAAACCGGTGATAGCCCATCAACCTTTTATTTAAACGAGGTGGGAGCCCATTGTTCGGAGTCTTAGGGCGAATTGGGTTCCAAAATCGTAACTAGGACTAAAAAATATACCCCACAGAATTGGACGTTGCATTTTAAACTTTTAACGTCCAATGTTGCTGTATTAATATACTAAATTATTAATAATAAGAGTTTTTTAGGGAAGATGCGTTTCCCCCATTAATATAAAAAACACTTTTATCTGTAAGTTTCTATTACTCAAAAGGACTGGTTCGTCAAATAGTATAATCAATTACATCGTAGTACCATGCTTGATAAATATATGAAAAGAGGGGTTTAACAGTGGCTTATTTTATAACAAATCTCTGGGAAAATTGACAACTCAAGTTATGATTGTCTTGTGAATATTCATATTTATTCGTTTAAAAAAAGCATTAGCCACTTCCATTGTACCGATACACAACACGCGTTTCAAAATGTGTCAAATGTAACACAGATTGTGTCAAATGTGAACAAACTGTCGGCCCTTTTTAAGGAGGTACACACACACATACCGTGTTTAACCTAAATTGTCTTATGGTTGTTATTGTTTGACTTGCATCCCACTGGGATTTTTGCACACATCATTGATATACGGTGCTTTTTCTGGAAGACTTTGCTGTTTTTTTCCTGGATTTTTCTGTTTGCGCGTAGTCACTTTAAGATGTTTCTTGTTCATCTTTTTGTTTGTTGCGGTTGCACCCAATTCAAGAGCCGAATGGGGCACAGGGCTATACCAAATAAATGAAACTGAAACCCACATACCGTGTCAACCCATACGGTTTACCCGTATTCTTGTGCAGGGAAATTTAGGTCCATAAGGCGTACAACGAGTTTCAAAACGGGCAAAAAATACAAACACATTTTCTAATTGTGTTTCCTCCCTTGTGATGGGACTTTGTTAGGCTTAACGTTAAGATGTATAAGGGCACGGGGGTGACCAATAAGGTCTGTAATAAGGGGGTGACAGGTATGGACACACACAGATCACTTAACAAAATGACCGACCCATTCTGATACAGTACAACAACAACAACGTGTTCCAAGTCAGCGCTCTTTATTTATCTGTCCCACATGAAGTGCTAGCAACCTTACCACCGTGAAATCCACAGCTGTTGCCGTCCTCTTTAAAAACACACGAGCAGGAACCGTTACGGGTTATAGGGGTGTTGGACAATGCCGTCCGTGGAAGTTAGAGGCCTCCGTTTTGAAATTGGGCGGGAAAAAGGCACAAAAGGCACCAGCCCCCATGCAACTAACCCCCAGGGGTCACCCACAACGCCAACTAAGTCCACGATTTGTGCGCGTGTACGGCCAGTGGGGGGAGTGGTAGTGTGAGCGGTTGGCGCTATACGGACCCAGAGAGCCGAGTTCGACTCCCGATCACGGCCACCGATACCGGTGACGATTATCTCTGAACCGGTCCTGGGCCTCCTCCTCCCCATCGGTCGACTCAGCCTCAAATTCAATACATGCTTTTAAAATAAACATCGCCACTGGGGGAGACAAAGGCGGCCGGGCGTGGTGCCGGCCACCAAACAACCCCCTCGTGTGCCACAGTGCCGGCCTTCATAAGGTGCTGCTCGCTAACAGCACTTGCCCCTGCAGTCTGTTAAGGCTATGTGGGGGATCTTTGTCTTTGTTTGTAAACCACATCCAACACAATATTTTGCACAAAATCCCCACCCCACACACTCGTCCCAGCACGCCTTACATCTCTACGTGTTCTGCAAATTGGAAGTGGAGGAGTTGGGTTGATGTGGCAGATATCAATGCAGCGTTTGTCTAAAGGCAACGCACAGCAGCGTAGTTGTCCATAATATAGGTTTGTGGGTCAGATCGCGTTATTTATAAGTGTGTCGTAACCCTCCACCACCCGACACGGCCAAACAGTAAAAATGTGTCACGTTTTTCAAAGGACAAAATAATTCACTTATTTAGCCCACCGGTGTGTTGAAGAGAGAATCAACAGCGTAGTTGTAGTGAGTGTAATGTCGATGTGTTCAAATGTCGCTGCGACTCCACGTTGGAAAGGGGTTTCAGGCAAATCGAGTTTGGACTACAGGCGGATGTTTCGTGATCCTACAATGATGATGCACTCTGCATATATCTCATCTATCTTGTAGCGATGTTGTGATGTGTGTCAATGCAGTAGGGTTACTGCAAGTTATACGGTCTCGTTCATAACTTTTAAAACGAAATAAACGTTACCCATAGTCTCATAAAAGGCTGGTGTCAGAGCTGCATTTACACACACACCGAGGGCTACTGGATACATGCCTCACTCAGCAATGTACTGGCCAACGCAAATCTTTTGACAAAACAAACAGCGTTATTAATCGTGATAGAATACTCGGACATATGAACCGCGTTTCCCCCGCCAGGCCGTTTAAATTAAGTTTAATAATTACACACCGCTTACCCCACCACATGCTTTCTTATTGAATCTAAAAGCCAGTAAATACGTGTACACAAGATTAATACTGACTGAATACATCATTACTAAGTCCGCCACGTGTTTGCTACACTGTATATGGCATCAGCTATATTGAAAGAAAAAAAAATGTTGAAAATACAAAACTTTGTAATAAAGTCTGCATCGGTGTTTATTATAGCAAAGACAAGTTGACCGATTTTTTTTTAAACAACGAAAATTCCAAATTGTCTACAGGATAATCCAAGTCCCCAACACCACCCAACACAACAACCTCTCATCTTACTCGTGTTGTCCACTCGCTCGCCTTGTGTTTTGACGAGTCGTTGGGTGCACACTTTTATGAGACTAATTAAAATCCGAGTACTTGTAGGTAGTAGGTACACACTCGTTGCATACCGAGTATGCCAACAGTTTGATGTTGGCAGTGGTGCAAACCCACAATTACACTCAGCACATATGTCAACAACGCTGCTGTTCCGTTGATATTGATTACAATACTGAGGTTTATTTTGTTTAGAAATCGCTATATGAATGTAGACGTATGACAAACACGAGAATACCGAGCATGATCAGGCACACGTTACACTGCCACGATGCTTTGCATGCTTCCAAGAAATATATCCAAGGATGTAAACGTATGCCTGTCCGAGTATAGTACGTGAAGTGCATCAGGTAAGAGATATATGCACGGTCGATGGAGATTGTCGACCAAGAACAGAATTAAGTGCACGCATTCAATGGGCATGGTAAGAGAATGCATGCGTATTTGCATGGTGTAGATCATAATTAGGATGCGATAATGCTGTCAAAGGGTACATACATTGATGAAGGATCAGAGCAAACAATGTCCAGCCCTTTGTCAATGTCCCACTGATGGATGACTGAATGCATCCCAACGCCGTGGAATTTCTGTTTGACCATACTTCACCACGCTGGTAAGCGCGTGTTGGTCAAGGGTGGGTTAGGCGTGGGAGCGGTGGGGCTGGGGCTGGGGCTAGAACCGATCGATTCTGGCAGATATCACCAGCCCGTGGCCAGGAATGGGAATCGGGTGGCGTTGACCACAGCGCCACCGCCCCAGAGTTCAGGCTGCAGAATACCGAGCACGCGTGATTTTGCGATAAGCCTATGGCGGTGGAGAAAATTGACAATTGTTGTATTGTGCGCAGATGTCCCACCCCTCCCCCCAACAGCTATGCTCCCCACTAACCCAGCGTGGTGAAGTATGGTCAAATAACCCCCCCTCTATATCTCCACCACCCCACAACCCCCCCCCAAAACCATCGCGACCACTAAAGCAGGCGCGTTGGGGGAAGCGTTCATTCAGCAGTGGACTTAAAATCCGTGACATTTTTAATGCGCACGGGGTCGTATAATGGGGCGTGTGCGTGATCAACAGTTTTAAAGGGGTTTTTTTTCTTCTCGAACAAAACAGTGTACAGTCACATGGGTGTAGGCAAAGGGCGTTAAAAAGCTCGTCTGTGAAAGTATTATCAGGGTATATTTATTAATTTGTGCCAGTAGGCGCCACGGTGGCGAAATGTTAACTACCTCGCCTGGTACACAGGAGGGCGTGGGTTCGATCCCGACCCTGACGCCTGCTGCTGTATATTTGGAGTCTGCGTGTCTCTCTCTCATCATCATCATCACCACGGTGGCAAGATGTTAACTACCTCGCCTGGTATGCAATAGGTCGTGGGTTCCATCCGCAACCCTGAAACTTGCTCTACATTTGGAGTTTGCGTGTCTCGCTCTCCCCGTGGTCGCGTGGAATTTTATCCCAACTCCTCCGGGTTCCCCCCCCCCCACTCCACGTTCAGAATCAACAATCACGCGTTTCGAGTTATTCGGGCTGCTTTAAACAATCACTAAAGCCACTTCGTTGAACAATCATTTGCGATAGCCAGCTCGCTTGTGAAAAAATACCTAAAATAGCTAAGTGGGCCCTTACTTGACAAAACTAAAAAAAGTGTAAATTGATAGTATGTAGTAATAGTAATGTGTGTGTCTGCAGGGTTAGAGGAGGAGATATAATGGTTGCGTACTGGAGATGCTCTGCAACTCACTTTTGGCGGGTGAAGAAGAAAGTGCTGCTGCTGCTGCTTCGCTCTCGCTCTCTCACGGGGGTTGCTCCTTGGAATCGCCTCTTGGTCGCTCCGCTTCTCTGTTCGCTGTGAGTGAGAGTAGGGACGGCTTTGCGCTTCGAGCACATCCCTCCACCACACCCCCACACATCCCACCCCACACCCCCCACATACACCCCCCACACACACATCCCCCCCCCCCCACACACACATCCCCCCCCCAACACACACATCCCCCCCCAAACACACACTCCCCCCCCACACACACATCCCCCCCCCACACACACACACCCCCACACACACATCCCCCCCCAAACACACACTCCCCCCCACACACACATCCCCGCACACACACATCCTCCCCCCCCCCATACACCCCAGCCCCCTCTAGAGCTCACTCCACTCACACACCCCCCCAACACACGCACATCCCCACACCCCCCCACACACATCCCCCCACACACACCCCACACACACACACATCCCCCCCACACACACACATCCCCCACACACACACATCCCACACACACCCCCCCCCCACACACCCCAGCCCCCTCTAGAGCTCACTCCACTCACACACACCCCCAACACACACACCCCCCCCCACACACATCCCCCCCCCACACACCCCACCCCCCACACACCCCAGCCCCCTCTAGAGCTCACTCCACTCACACACGCGCGAGGCGACGCCCCATGCTCATGTTGGCGTTTGTCATCTCCCCCCCCACCCACAACCCCCACACCCCCCCACCACCACCGCTCACTCTCCCACCCACGGACACACAAAGACAAAGATCCACAGCCCCGCCCCCCCCCCCGTATAGCCTTCACAGACTGTTGGGGCAAGTGCTGTTAGCGAGCACGGCGCACGAGGGAGGGGGGGATGACCAGCACAACGCCCGGCCGCCTTTGTCTCCCCAGTGGACGGTGTTTACTACACACCGCACAATGGCACTCATTTGTGGCTGAGTCAACCTAGGGGAGGCCCACGACCGGTTCACATAATCGTCACTACTGGTGTTGGCCGTGTGCGCAGCGCGCTAACCACTGCTACACTACCGCCTCCCCACACCCACACATTCACACACACGCACATCCCCGTGCCCTCTGACCTCTACCAAACTACCCCCCCCGTTTCCCCTTCCATCCACCCGCCCTTGCACCCCCCCCCCCCCCTCCACAGAACACCCACACAGACTCCCTGCCAAAATGTCCTTCCCTCCCCCACGACTAAAACCACGAACCATCCCCACGCCGCTCCCCAATCCCTCTTTCCCCCCCCAGCCACCACCTCGCCTCCTACTCCCTGCCTCTCCCCTCCCACCACAACCACCACCACTCCCAACTCACCCCCACCAGCTCACCCCACGCACTCACTCACAACTCTTTTCCCCCTGCACTGAAAAACGCATTCCATTCTTGGCTACTGTATGTTGAAGGCTGTGAGCTGGCCAAGGCGTGTTTACGAAGCACGAACACACCTCCTCGTGCTATAAAGCCTTTCATTTCGTTAAATGTGCTCAAGGTATTTTGTTGTTGTTGTGAGTTGTTGCACCATTTACGCTTGAGTAAACATTTGTGCCTTGAAATTACTTTGCAATAAGTGGACTTCTGCACTGACCAAAACATTGCCCTCCACAGATTATTTTATTACAAATTTAAATTATCAGTGCCTGGTTCAACTATTGGCACCATACCCCACTGGGAGAAGGCTTCCATCATCTCCAGATCGCTTTCACAAGAAATTTTAAAAAGTTAAATATTGTTAGTGATGTGTGTGCATCCACTTAGATGCGTTTTCGGGTCGTGCCGCGTGTGCTGTTCGGCGCGATGTCCGACGTTTCTCTCCACGCGTCGGGAGCTTCTTCAGGAACTGAATCGAGCCTCTGACTTGCCAGTAAACACGGCACATTGGGCCAACGTTGCATGGCTGCTTGCCGTCTCCCCTTGACTAATCAGAGCATTGCTTGCTTTCAAAGCTCACACAAAACGTAGCTTAGCAAAAGGAGCGCAATAAATCGGCGTTATCGGTTAGACATTGAATCTGCATAGTGCATTGTTCTTAGGCAATTCTTGCCATTGCTCGGCTCGACCATCAAACCATCAGAATGGCACCGAGTGATTGAGCGAGCAGCAAGCCTCTGTTTGCTTGTGTTTTGGAGCTACCGTGTCCGCTGCCCTTCCCCCATCCTTTCCTTACCCCTCCCCCACCAGTCGTAGCAGAAATGTTGACTAATTTCAAGGCCAGCAAAGGTAGCAAGCAGCTGGGCAAAAACAACTCAGAAGAGGAGCATCTGTTATGTGTCTATCCAAGGGGCCTTGAAGAATTAAAGAGCGTGGCTTTTTGGACGAAGCTCTTTTCCTCCGTGCCCTCTGACCTCCTCGGTTCCTTTTGTGCAACTTTGAGTTGACACCAGAGACCAGCAATTAAAATTAAAAGTAAAGTGGACCAGGCTGGCGCTCGCATTCGGGCTACGTAACTACCGCTGGATTTGCAACTAGTCTTTTTTTTAGCTCAAATAAGTGCTCTGACTACAAATGGGTTTGGAAAAGTAGATAGGGAGAATAACATTGTTTCGCTCTTTTACAAATAAATATCATATTCAAGAACAGGGCACATTCAAAAACACGGTTTGCAATGCATTTGTAGTGCAATGAATGGAATAAACATACCACATTTTATTTATAAGAATATTTTTTTGTTTCCCATGAATTTTAAAGCAAAAGTTTGGGGTCTTACAACCCAATCCTGTAGATGTTGTGTCGACTCAGCCTTAAATGAGGACTGTACCTCGTGCGGTGGGTAAACATCGCCACCAGGGAAACAAAGACGGCCAGGCGTGGTGCTGGTCACCCTCCCCCTCGTGTGCCACGCTGGCCTCCTTCGTAGCTGCTCGCAAACAGCACTTCTCCCAACAATTAAGGCTATACGGGGGAAATATTTAACTCGATTTGTATAAATGAATTGGCACTGGCCACAAGGAGAAACTGGTGAGTATCCAACAGAAGAGCAGCACGGATATCTTTGGTTAGAACCCATGTGTGTGGTGCAGTAAGTAAGAAGGGCAGATTGTGTGTGTGGAGTAGTTTCAGCTACTTTTTATTTGAAACCAAGTGAAAGCACCACTTCACTCTCTGCACACCCCAACACAAACCACTCAACTCTGCACTAGAGCCATTGAAAGCAGCCCAATTCAATGATGAGGAACAAGAAAGTGGGCCGATCGCTGCAGCCTCCCACTTTATTATTTTAGTTATTTATGCCCAGGGCTTACTTTCTCCCTCAATGCTTTCCGAAACGCTGCTCAGCTCGCTTGGAATCTCGATTATCAGCGTAGGGCACTACTACCACCAGAGTACAGGGTATGTCTATCCATAATAATGCTATTACAACGCTGCCCTCTGTTGCTATAATCCTATGAACAGCTTTACGTGAAACAAAATGTCTGACAACATAAGGCGAGATGGATGTGGCATGCCAAAATAATTCGGCCGAAAAGTAAGCAATGCTTTTCGATTTAAAGCTTTCGTGACTGCAGGGATTCATCTTCTTGGTTCTTTCGGTAAAGTCACGTAGAAGGGAAATAATTAAATAATAAAATAAAACATTTGAAAATATTACATTGAATTATTATATTATTTTATTAGGTTTTATTTTTATTATTTTATGATTTCCCTTCTACGTGACTTTACCGAAAGAACCAAGAAGATAAGCAATGCTTGTGCCTAATTTGAGCCGCACAATATTTCTGCAATGCTCAGTCAATAAAAAAGGTCTAACTCAATGGTAGACGATCAACACTGCTTTTTATACTCCGAACAGGAAACTTTTTTTTATTTTACCAGGTAAGGTCCACCAAGCTATACAGCTCTTTTTTAAAAAGCCACCTGGGCACCAATGAAAGCGCATCGAAGTGGCATTTCGCTTGGAAATCAATAGCAGCTAAATACACTAAAATAACGTTTTTAAATGTGGTGGGACCACGTGACCACGGGGATAAACATGCAAATAACTAAAATACAGATGTAAGGGCCAGGATCGAACCAACAAGGCCTCGTGTATACCAGGCGAGGTAGTTAACATCTCGCCACCGTCGCACCGCGACACGCATTGTCCTCACCCCATTAGCCTGGTAAGGTCATCACAAATGCCTGCAGTGGGCTGTCGTTTTCACAGCAGCGTAGGGCTGAACGATTAATCGATTTCAAATCGAAATCGCAATTTGAAACAATGCGATTAGCAATTGGCAAATGCTGCGATTTTTTGCCATTCGAAAAGTCCAATTACTTTCTTATTGGAATTGTATAATTTTGTATTATTATAACTGTATTTATTTAACTTCACAATTGTTCTATGTTTGATTGTTCTATTTCAATTAAAACGTTTTAATAAATACATGCTGGATACAATTCATATCTTTTAAGTTCTCATCCTTGCATTAGAATATATAGAGCAGCTCGTATTTTGATGGTATCAGGTGGTAATGCTCCATCACATGTTTTAAATCTATTACACGGTGAAAATTTAACTGAAGCTTGACTTTAAACATTTTTATCGCAAATCAAATCACAATGTTTGTCAGAAAAATCGCAATTAGATATTTTTCCCAAATCGTTTAGCCCTACAGCAGCGTGACCTTGGCACAGTGGTGTGGATCAGCCAGGCCAGTCAGGAGGAAAGCATGTGCCTCTCTGCAATCTTTGACGATGACATTCGAGCTATTGCCAAATGTATATCCCTCGTGAATTATCGTTACTGATCAACGGCCAAATGCATCCGTGCCCTGATGTATTCTCCAGTTGTGACCCCTCTGACAGACATCTTCAGTCGTTCGGCAAACTTGTTTCTCGTGACTTTGTTTGACTTATATATGTACTGTATAAGGGAAATAATAAAATAATAAAAATAAAACATAATAAAATTATTCTCACGACGTATCGGCCACAACGCAAGCAGCCGTTCTCAGGTGAAGAACAGGTCTGTCGGGAAGACAGCGTCTGAATGGCCATGCGTTGTGACCGAAACGTTGTGAGAATTATTTAGAAAGAACCAAGAAGATGAATCCCTGCAGTCACGAAAGCTTTAAATCGAAATGTAGTGTATACTTAACTTGAGCCA